TGAGTGTCGGATCCAATTGAAGTGTCTGTATGCTGTTTTCTAGTTAGAACATCAAATGAGAATTTTATTTTCCTGGCTGCCTTCTGAATTTTGGTTGGCCTATTTTGCACTGCTTTATTTCTCCAAAATAAACTACTGAAATATAATTGTGCATTTTAAACTTGTTTACAGATGATTGTTAAAAGTTTATTTTGTAATTCTCTGAAGGCTTACAGAAATGCTATATTTAAATATTACTCCAGACCTTGGCTGTAACTAGAGGAGAAGTTTAGGTCATTGGTGTGATCAGTGACATTTTTCCCATAGTCTGTAATTTATTTCTTATTTATCAAATGTATCTGTATCACTTTAATTTACCAGGTGCAGATGTGCAAGTACCTGTTGTGATGTGGCATTACAATAGAGTTTTCTCCTAAATTACCATGCGATTGCTGTACTGCTATATTTCCTTGCCGAAATTGTTGTTGTGGCTCATATGTTAGAGTGCTGCCCAATCACATGGGCCAATCAGGAGACCAGTTTTTAAAAGCCAAAACTGTAGATTACCAAGTGTCCAGACATACAATTACATTACTGCAAAACATTCGAGCACACGTATGTTATTAAGCCTGTGCTAAAGTGCTTTTCTGAATTGCTGCCTCATTTGATAAGTTTAGGATGGCTTTGATTTATTATAAGCTTCACAGTAATGTAGTTCTTGTTCTGCAGTCTTTTCCTTTTTCTTTTTTCTTTTTTTTTTTGTTTGTTTGTTTTCTTTTAAAGTAAGGAGATGTAGTAACAGTAGACCATCCCATATAATAGCCTCACTCTTAAAATTGCAGACAATCTGAGGGAGATTTTCCATAACATCTTGTTTGAATTCTGTTATTGTGGGTTACAAAAGATTCTGCTGTGTTTTCAGAGGCATAGCTATTGCTGCTGTGTTGATTGGAGCAATTAAGTTAAAATGATGTGGTCACCAGTTAGCATCTTGTGGATCTGCTTCTGTTCTGCTTCACTGTTATCAGTCCACAAGAGCACCATTAGCTTGGCTGGAATGTTCTCCAGGTTTTGCGTCAGTGTGATGGAGGAGATTTGACTGTGATTTTCGCTGTGATTGTGTAGCTGACTTCAGTAGGTGAAGATTATACCCTGTTGAAGAGAACTTGAATGGTATTATTAGTGCACATAATGCAAAACCATCACCATCATCCTCTCCCTCTAGCTGACACTGCCATGTTACATTGGGTTTGCAGTGACTGCCTCAGGACAATTGGGTCATACTGAAAACCCAGTGCAGGAGTGCAGCCTGACCACGTGTGCCAGGGCTGACACCCTTAGCCTGCAGTTGTTCTGCCTTTGGTAACCATGTGTCTGGCTCTTCCAGACCTATTCAGACCATTGGAATGAGAAATTTGCTTAGAGATCCCCATCTGGAACATGTCAGTGTTTGTACAGAGGAATCTGCAACAACTTGCTCAGGTAAGAACCACCGGCTTCATCTGCTGTCCTCATAAAAATGGGCACGAACAAAGAGCCTCATCCTGGGGTCCAAGGAGGGGAGGAAAGTAAGGTGGATGGCTCAAGCTGAGGGATGATGTCCCTCAGCCAGCCGTGGGCTGTGCTTGGCCTAGGAGTGATTGCATGGGGCAGCGCATGGATCGGAATGGCAGGGCACAGCCAAGAGCAACTGAATGCAGGTGGCCGAAGGTGTTTGAGTTGACTGACCAAAAAAAAAAAAACAGCAAAACAAAGGAAAATGGAAACTTCTGTTTCCATCCAACAAAAAGAAATTCCAGACTTAGCAGCAGTTCAGCTAACGTGGCTTCCCCAAAGTCTTGGTGTGGCTGCAGTGACCATGGATCAGACTTTTTCACACTCGCTTGCAGCCGTACCTTCCAGAGTGGTGCAGAAGATCCTGGGTTTGGGTTTGTTAGTGAATAGAGTCTAATTTGAGTTTGTAGTGGTCTCCCCATGTGCATACTGCAGGAGTTCACTTGCATTACTCCGCTAATTCTCATTTCCTCCCTCCTTCTGGTCAGAGATGTATTGATTTTTGTATTCAGTATAGAATCACTTCATGGTGTTGCAGCTGTGTGTTTCATAATAGCAGGATGTCAAAATGCTTTGTGTAGATTAAAATATTTCCTTTAATATAATCTCCTCTCGCTTTCATGTGTGACACACGCATTGCTGATTTTATTTGTAATATTGCTTTAATACGTATTTCAGAGGAATGTAACCTCCAGAAAAGTACTTCCCACATCTTCACTACCTTTCCTTTCCCTATTCACCCTGTGTGGACCCAAGCCATCAAAAGTTGAGCTTTTGATGGAGTGGGTTTCACATCCTTTGTGGATGCTGTTATGTTTACATGGCCACACTAATTGCTAAAGTCTGTTGAAGTTTGAGAGAGTCCAGGTGCAGATGAAAGTATTAGAATGGTAATTCCTTGGCAACACAGGCATGATAGCTTCTGTAGCAAGCACAGGCTCCAAAGTGTTCTTGCTGTGTACAGGGAACTCTTGGGGTCTGGTCCATTCCTGCTGGTAGTACAGTTTCCCTGCGGAAGAAAAAAATCACTGTAAAAAAATGTACTCTGCGATGAAGAAGAGGGATGAGAAGAGGCAGGTGAGGATTGGGGATAAAGTCCTGGCCGGGGGACACTGATACCAATGGGCCAGGAGTTGGCTCCATTATTTTTATAGAAATCTTGGGAGATGTTTTCTCTCCGCCTTTCTCACCCTGAATCCTCTGGGGCTGATGCCAGCAGTTGTCCGTGGGCCATGAGCTCAGTAGGCAGTGGCCTTGTCCAGCATGCCTGGAGTTTGCAGGAGGCTCCTGAGCGTTATGAAGTTCTGATGGATGGCCTGGAAATCTCTTGAAACTAGAAATAGCTGGAACAGTAAATGGAGTTTGTGAAATTCAGGTCTTCCTTTTCCATCCTTTTTAAAGAAACCCACTTTTTATTTCCTCCTTCGTTCTTTACACAGTAGTTTTTATATATAAATTATTTTAACATTTTTGTGTGAAAAGTCATATATACATATATAAAGTTATTAAAAGGTTGGCTATATGTTGAGTATAAAATAGTGACTTCTTTGTTTCAGATGTTAGCAGCCCCTAAAAATGAGTTGTTTATTCTCTTGTAAAGTCAGTGCTGTAAAAAATAAATAAATAAAAGCTGTATTAGATGTATCTTTTATTATTTATTTCTCATGCAGTATGTGATATGGCTTGTGTATACCTTTGTGAGAACCATATGCTAAGGTGCAGTCATTCTTTAAATCGAGTAATAGTTCCTTGGGATCCCAGCAGTTCTGAGACAAGTGGCCCTTCACGTGTGGGTCATGTTGGAATTCTCCTTCACTCGCCAGCTGTGCTCCCCACTTTAGCATGGCTGAGGCCTGGGGACCATTCATCTGTGCCAGGTTTCACAAGTTTGTCAATATCTGTGTTCAAATCCAACTGTACAGTGTTAACACGCGCGTCTTGTGATTTGCTTCAGCCCTCTTCACTATGATTTCTGAAACGGGATTCCCATTTTGTACTTAAATTTATCTAGAATGATTAAAAAAAAACTTATAAAATTGTGGTTTACTGTAAAAAAAAATAGAAATGTTTGCTATCCGGCATCTTACTTCAGTTGCATGACTGATCGGATCTGACAATGGAGATGGTGCTTTCATCTAACAGCAATGATTTCAATGGTAATATGTTGGTTTTTTTCTTTTGCCAAGCACCTGTGATGGACAATGTTTTGGTTTCAACAGTAAAGCAATATGCAGTAGGTATTGTGGCATTCTCTCTGTACTTGTTTTGAAGACAGAACTGTCCCTTTACAACACATAATGAAAATAAATGCCTTATAACAAATTTTACTTTGGCTTCTCTTGATGAGTGGGTAGGGCAGCGAGGGGAGCAGCTGAGTGTGAGAAGCTTCCTCAGTGTCATTGTTACTTTGGACTTTCTTAAACCAGCTCTACTAGGGAACATGGCTGGTGTAAGGTCGTAAAATGGCTTAGGTTGAAGGGGACCTTAAAGATCACCCAGTTCCCAGCCCTTGCCATGGGCTGGCTGCCCTCAGGCTGCCCAGAGGACAACCTGACCTTGAACACCTCCAAGGATGGGACACCCACAGCTCACTGGGCAGCCTATGCCAGCACCTCACTGCTGTCCAAATAAAGAATTTCTTTGTAACATCTAACCTATATCTCCCCTCTTGTAGCTTAAAGCCATTCCCCTTTTCCTATCAAGTTTTGGTCGGTTTGGCTTTGATTTGTAAGACTAGTGGAAATTAGGCTATTTCTATAATGACTGCATAGCACATGATGTCACTGGGATTCAGGCTGTTGCCATGCTTAAGGATTTATTCCTAGTGCTGCCTTCTGGACTGATCCTGATGGGGAAATGTTGATTACTCAAAACCTAGTAGGGTTTTTAACCAGGATTGTATTTTGTGCAGGAGAGGTAGGTGTCTCACCCAGCAGTATTAAATTTTGCTAAGCAACAGGCAGGTTCAGCCTGTGTTCATGTAAACACTGCCTGCGGAGCAGTGCTTTGTGTCACCTCCAAGGACAGAGCTGCTGCTGCCCTGCCCAGCCCTGAGCTCTGTCCCTCCCTCTGAAGAAAGTCTATGGGTCCCAAACAGTTGCCTGGACAGACATGCAGGAGCCAACCACCCCAGCCCAGCCCAACGATTGCCCAGCCCTCCAGCTGGTACCCTGCCTAAGCCCAAGGGCATGGCCGCCCCTGTAGCAGTGCCTGAGCAGACGGAAGGGCAGAATGGTGCTTCCAGGCTACATGTCCTGGTTTTCCATGACTGTCCCATTTATGAATTTCTTATTAAAACCCACTCACCGTGCCTAAATAACTTAACATTCTCAAGTGCTCACCCAACACTAAGGCTCCTTAGCCCCCACCTCAGACGCATGGAGCCATCCAAGCGTTGTGGTGAGGCTGGGAGGGCCACCAGGATGGTGAGGGAATGCAGCCCACTGACATGGAAGCTTGCGAAGAAAGCAAAGAGCCCACCGTGGTTTTATTTTTCCTTAGATAAATTTTTTATATAGAATATATTACAGTCAGAGTTCTCAGCTTTTAATCAAAAGGTAACAAGTTATTGCAATTTAACCCAGTGAAACTACCAGTGGGAGGAGAGCTTCCTAGAGAGCTCTCCTGTCTTTTAAAAAACAGAAAGGGAAGGAGGAAATAAAAATAAAGAGAGAGAATACAGGTGTAGGTCACACTTCTTGGCTACGGCAGCCCGATGGGGCAGGTGGACATCCGTAGGGGACAGAGGAGCGTGGGGGCAAGAAGCGGTGATGGGCACAACACTACTGCAAGGGAGGCAGGCCTGGCGCCCGTGGGGCCGGCATCCAAGGCGCGGTGCTTCTGCTCATCGTACTCGGCATGGAGACCATCGTACTCTCAGGAATGGAGACCACGGCGGAGAGAGGCTGCGGCCAGCCCTCAGCCCCGCCTCAGCTCGTGCAGCTTGTGGGCCACGTGTTCCAGCTCGGCCTCGATGGCGGCAAGGCTCTCCAGCTCCTGGTCCTGCAACGAGAGCAGAAATGGGGCAACAGGGAGCGATAGGGATGGGAAGTGTGGCTGGAGCCATGCCACCTGCCTATTTCACTGTCTGCTGCAATGAGGAGATATGGCAGTGTTGCCTCAGGCCCTGCCAGCGCACGTGGAGGTATTCAGGCCATTCAGTCCCAATTTCCCAGGAGCAGCAGGGTAGACCTCCTCCATACAACTCACACTGCTCTTGACCAAGAAGGATGAAGCGCGCCCAGAGCTGCTGTAAGGGCTTTGGGCTAGGAGGGAGCAGCCTTATGAGGGGGAAGAGACCTTCCCCAAAAGCAGGAGGCAGAAGGGGCAGGTGCTCTCTCCTTGCTCAGAGCCAACACATTTAACTTCACTTTCAACCAACGTGACACCCTCCTGAATGCTGGTGGGCAACTTTTGGGCAACGCTGCTCTTCATTACTAAAGCAAAAACAGTGTTTTGGAGGTAAGAGAAATGCAGCAAACTGGCTTCATTCCCGGGCATTGGAGCATGGCTTGTCCCAGAGCACTGCAGAACTCAATCCCAGCCCCTGTGTTCAGCCATTTGTGGCTGATACAAACTGGAGCTGAGCTTCAACACCAAAGAAACAGAAACAGTTGCTCCTAGCTGCCAGGGTACATGCTGAGTTATTGCATAACATCACATGAGACATGAGGGAATGAGGCATATTCAGACATCCTCACATCCTTTGCAGACATTTCCATTCTAACACCTGCTCTCCCACCATATTGTCCCTGGTTTGCTTCCCCAAGAGGTATGAAACTGCTCATCTCATACTTGAGCTTGGGACAGAATTGACTATCCTGTGGCTTGAAGGGAATTAGAGACACAAAACCCACACCAAGACTAGTTACAGCATCCAGCACTGGCCAGCACAATGCTCTTGTCACATTTTTAAAGCTCTCTAGGACAAGGAATATTTTTGCACTGATTACTAAATCTAGAAAAGAAACAAAGGCATAGACCAGAGGAAACCTCAATAATATCCAAAATATCAAAAATCCAGGTCTGAAAAACTGGAAAAAGCACCAAACATCCATTTAATGTCACAGAGAACCAGTATGGGCTGCATAACACTAAGGCATCATCCTTATTTTCCATCAGCACAGTTTGGATTCCCAAGTAATAACCAGTCAGTTAAGCCTATGTACACCAACCTCTGTTCTCCTGTTAGCACTGCCTTCCTCATCCTTCTTTTCTTCAGGCATAGGAGCAAGCGGAAATCCTTCACTGCTGTCCTCCTTCGAGTGATGCTTCCATGATCTTCTCACATCTTCCTCTGGGCTACTGAAGTCATACTTGTGGGACCTGAATGCCATTTTCATGGACCTGTCTGGGTCTTCTCCACTATCATTTTCCTCCATGCGCTTCTTTGATGTCAGCTGCTTGGCCAGCTCATCCATTTTGTTCCATCTCTTGGAGTCTTCCCACTCCCTGGAGGACTCATCCTCCATTTCCTCACTTTTGGCATCCCTGGACTGGAAGGTGTCCTCCTCTGCCTGCATTCCCTCATCCTCCAGGCGATGCCTTCCTCGTCTCAGTACATGTGGCTGCTCCTCCTCCTCCTCAGAGCTCTGCTCATCTTTGCCAAATCCCAGAGCATCATCATTACCTGAAAGAGCATAAGGCACAACAGTGAGCATGAGCTTTAACCTGGTTGGGCTCCATGTTTGAACCAAGACTTCAGAGGTGATATAAGGTGACTTAGCCCCCATTTTCCCAGGATTCTGGGATATCCACTCTCAAGTCACTGTCTCAGTAATGCGGACTGAAGATAACAGTCAAAATCACAGAGGATGTTCACGGAAAGGCAAGGAATTGTCCCCTTATTTCCTGTAATTTGTGTGCAGCACACAGCAAGGCAGCTGCAGTGTCTGTGCTACTGCCATGCATATGCCCATGGGTCAGGTGTTTAGGGATCCTGGGTGACTGTCATTGGAGATATTTCTGTAAAAAAAACTGATAAGCACCTGCCTGAACTTTTAGAGTTTAAAGCTTCTTATCAGCTTGTCTCAGCACTCTCATCTCACCCTGGATAGGTATCAGCACAGTCATCCAAGATACATACCATCATCTTCCTGCATCTCCTCAGCCTCCCCATCCTCCTCAGCCAAATCGAGTAATCTCTCTGCTTCAGTAGGGTCCTCCTCTCCAGGAGCATCTTCTCCATCGTCCTCCTGTTCCACGCGCTCCTCTGCTGCCTCCTCCTTGCTCTGCCTCTGGCCCTGCCTGGATGGCTGCTCTCCCTCCTCCTCGAGCTCCAGGCTGTTCCTGGGGCCTCTGCGCTGCTCCTCTCCTTCCCCTCGCTGCTGTTGCTCATTCTCACCCAGATCTTTGTCAGCATGGTTGCCCAAAGCTGCTTCTCCCTGTGCATCTTCTGCATCCTTGATCTCGTTGCTGTCTGCTTCATCCTGGTCATCCTTCTCACTGCTGGCATCTTGCAGCCTAGATTCCCCTACCTCCAGGCTATTTTTTCCTTCCTCTCTCACATCTTCCTTTTGCTGGGTTTTCTGTGCTGCCAGCTCAGCCAGAGATGCTGTGGGCTGCTCCTCCTCAGGGTGCTGTTGTGCCACATCTGCAGAGAAGAGTGAGAAACAACATCTCTCTTGAGAGCTCATCTCACAAACAGGGGAGTCTGGGTAAAAAAACATCACACTCCTCATGGGCATCTCCTCCTCCCAGCATGATAGCAGTGGACTAACCCGCCTTCCTGCAGCACTGCATGCCTCCAAATGAGCTAAATGTGGCCTGTTCAGGATAATGGTATTTTGTGTGTGCATGGACTGAACTCAAATTTCACTGCAGGGACCATCACCTAAATTAATTAATTTCAGTCTTTCAAAGAAGGCTGTAAGACAGACCCACCTTGCTCTTGCATCTCTTTCAGGACAGAGTCATGACTCAGTATGGCAGCAAGGTGGAGGGAACCACTATCATGTTGGTAACCTGAACATCACTGGTTACTACAGCTCAGAAGTGCCATGTTGTTTTATCTGGTATATCAGACCAAAGCAAACACAGGGTTGCTGGTGCATGTGACACCCAAGGAGAGGATGAGGAGCAGATGGACACACCAAGGCTGTCAGAAAGAACATCCTTGTTTACAGCCTGCCTGCCTGGACTCCCCGGCAGGAGGCTGACACTGACCTCTTTGCTTGTTCTCATCATTCTGACTTTCAAGGACTTCAGAAAGTTCATCTTCAAAGCCACTGTTTTTCTTTTGCTGCTGAGTTCTCTCATTGGCACCTGTGTTGGGAAACAAAAAGTAGCAAAAAGCAGCACCTTCTGTACTTTCAGAAGGTACAGACAGCAAAATAGCTGCGCTCTTTATAATTCTACATGTATTTTCTGCAATGGACAAATCTGCCAAAGGGGAACTGTAAAATGGGGGATGCATGAACCAACTGTGGTAACAAAGCCATCATCAAAAACATCATCTGTAGGAATAAAAAGGTCTCTGTGAAAACAGAGAGGCAATGTTGCTAGGAAAACAGCAATATTGATGGCAAACTAGGGAATAGGAGATGCTGAGCTGCAGCACATCGAGGCCAACAAAACACTTAAGTACTGGAGTACTGAAGGATAATAATTGCCTTCTTCGAAATGCTGCCCACGTACCTGAGGTGAGCACTGGGAGCCCCGCGTGCCCTCCCACCTGGTGATGGGACCCTTCTCCATCAGTGCTGGCTTCATGAAGGCATCTGAAGAGAGTTTTGAGCTCAAGGACAGAGCTTGGGACCACTGCACAGTTGTCCTGGCAAGCAGTGCTCCCCACACTGCCTCATCCCAATGGAATCTGCATACTCAGCAAGCCATGCCTAACCCAGCTCATAGCCTGTTTCTACAACTTAACTCAAAGGCCAAAGACAGCAGTACTGGCTCAGTCATCTCCAGCCTTTCAAGGGGCAGGGCTGTAGGGTGTGGGCTTTTCAGACTGATTAGGAACAGCTGAAGCCATCACAGAGGACTTTGTTTTTCCCTTGGGCTCCCACTCTCAGTACTGATCTCTTGGTGAGAGCTCATGTTACATCATTGCAAAATGGTGTGATGGGTTTCAGTCAAGGAAAGAGCAAGCTAGAGCTCCACTGTGTTGCACAGTGTGTATGGCAATAGAACACAGCCTGCACAACCTGGGCAGCAACCCAGAGCACAGAAGAGGCTCAGGTTTCTTTCTTCTGGATCATCAGAGCACCTCTGGAGCCTAACTGGGCCACTGCCTGCTGTCCCCACACAATAAGATTTAGGCAAGGACCAAATCATTGCTTTGGGAGCTGCACAGATCTCTTGACATGCATTTTCCCTCTCATTTCTCCCTGCTGCCTCTGTGGCTTCCCTATTCTCTAGGAAATCTGGTGGCAGTGTCTCCCAGCCATCTCAGGCTGCTGTGTCCCCCAGGGCACAAGGATGCCCTGGCAAGGCAGGACTGCCAGCTGAGTAACCCATGCAGAAGGAGAAGGCAGGCAGGCAGCTGCAGCCTGGACCAGCTGGCTGGGATCCTCACCAGCTTTGAATGTGCCTTGCCTGCAACCTGCAGTCCTGTGCTGGGGACCTGTGAATAGTTTTCTCCCATAATACATACACTGTCTAGGAAAACTGTATGTGGCCACTAAGTTATGCTGCAGGTTATTTCAGTCATCAGATACATATTAGAGTAATTGTAAGAATAGTATCCCTACACTTGCAGTGTTCACTGGAAATCCTGGAACTGTGTTCCTTATGACACATTTTTATGATATTAAATTAATGTAAAATAAAACTACAAGAACTGTGCTAGGAGCTACAACTGATGAAATCCATCTTCCCAAACAACTGTAGTAAAACTGTACCTTGAGCCGCAATTTCCTGAAGTTCCTTCAGTAAATTTTGGTGGCGAAGGATAGAAATGATTCGTTCATCTGCAATAGGAGAGACTTGGTACAGAATGTGGTCAAAGACAACTTTCCACCACCATTAGGAAACACAAAACTACTCAAATTCCATCTCCCTGCTCATTTACTCGTTCCTGTCCCCTGGCCTGATTTGCTGCATCTCTTGGCTCTGTGCCTGGCAGGAAGGAGGCTCAGTGGGGTGACTACAGGGAAGGTGAAATTGTTGGGTTGCCAGTTGCCTGAGCATGTGTCAGACGGGACCATGGAGAGCAAGACCCTGCTTCTCTCTCTGCCTGATTCCCTCTTGCTGATACCCAGAATTAAATTAACATCTGTACCTCCTCTGAGCGTCTCTAGGCATTCCTCACTGATCGGCAGTGGGTTTGGCTTTGATAAAGTATCAGAGATGACCTCCACGATGCACTTCATCACCTAGAAAGAAACAAAATACAAACAAAAGCACTGCTTCTTCGATTTTTTTTTTTTTTTTTCTTAAATCAATCTGTTATCTAGGCTGAAATGCAGCAGGTGATGGCACAGATCCTTTTGCCTTTCTGATGGATCCAGAACGGAATGTTCAGTTCCCATTTTACCTAACAGAAGAACAGAAGGTACCACCCTAAACTGAGCAGTGAGTGAGTGACACATGGCAGTGGAAAGAGCTACTTTGACACAGCTGAGGATCTCATGACTTCAGCCCACCCCACAGGCTGCACACAAGGAATGATTCAAGAGATACTCAATAGATGCATACTGAACTCAAATTCATCGTTTTTGAAGTCAGTGTGCCTCAACCTGTACCTGATAAAAGGACTCAGTGGGAGGTCACAGAGAACAACACGTGTCCGTAGGTAGCTCTTATTCAAACCCTGAGGAGGACACTCTGCTTAGAATGCAGCCAGGCATAGAGGGTGAGGAAAGTCAAATCATACTCTCAAGTGCAGTTGAGAAATACTGCTCTAATGGTCTAGAGAAGAGCAACCCACTCTGCAGAAGTTCTTGACTTCCTGAATGAAATAAACTCATTATAAACTGGAAGAGCTGAACATGAAGTCAGGCCATCTAAAGGCAAGGAAGTTCCCATACATTTGCTACTGCCTGAGGCAGCTTTCCAGACTGGACAGACAGTGGGCCTGCCCTATGCAGAACCCTTTTCTTCCTTGTAATAATGAGAAGGCATCATTTTCATCATCCCCACTCAGCCCTAGCTCTTTACACAAGCAGCCACTTAGTGCTGCATGGCTGGGGCAGCTGGTTATTTCTGCAGGCAGCCCTAAGGGCCTTCACCTCCCTCTCAAGGTGCCATTCTCAGGAGAGCAGAGCGCTGTAGCTGCAGTAGAAATTAAACACCAGCCAGCAATTCCCAGTCAGCTGCAATGTCACTCATTCAAGCAATTGATATATTTATTGACCAACCGGAATGGGCAAATCTGCACTCTGTGTAAGGAGAGAATTCTGCTTTCACAGGATACAGACAGGAAATCTTGAACTCTTTATCTATTTGCACATTTTGAGGGGATTTATTGCTGAATTTAAAATGTTGCAGGAAAGATGTAACGAAAAGAAAGAAGGGAAATTTCTCTGGTATCATTCCCCGATACCACAAACAGCCCATTAATATTGATTTTAAATGACCTAGTGACAATTCGATCAACCAACCATAAAGAATAAATAGAAGGAAAAAAAACAAACAAATATCAGATTCTGATACTTCCTTTCTACATTTTCCAAAATTTGAAGCCTTTTTTTTTTTTTCTTTTTTTTTTTTTTTTTTTTTTTTCCAGTATTTGATGCAGATCCTGAAGGAGGCAGTTTCTCATCATTACAAATGAGTACCTGTCTAATGAAACACCCTGAACAATCTTCCTGAATATTTCTAAATGACTTCAGGACATTGCCAGAGCACAAAGAAAAGTAACAACCACCACAGAAATATGGCAGCTCTGTGGAGAAATAATGTAACTTAATGAAATGAGGAATGCAGTCAGCCCAACACTTTCCAGAATTTTTTATAAGATCAAATCTTGCAGAGTAAGGTTTCAAAAGGTCATGATAGAACAACCTACAGGAAATGAAGGAGAGCCTTTCCAAAATCATAAAATGGTTTATGCTGGCGGGGATCTTAAAGATCATCCAGCTCCCACTTCCTGACATGGGCTGGCTGCCCCCTACCAAAGAAGGCTGCCCAGGGCCCTATGCTCTTAAATGGCCTATGGTCTTAAATGGTTCCAGGGATGAATCACCATAACCTCTCAGAGGGCAGCCAGTACCAGGAGCTCACCACCCTCTGAGTAAAGAATTTCCACCTAACATCTAACCTACACTTCCACTCTTTCAGTTTCAAGCAATTCACCTTGTCTAATCGCCATCAGACTGAGTAAAAACAAAACAAAACAAACAAAACAACAACAACAACAACAAAAAAACACCGGTCCTCCCTCTTGCTTGTAAGCTCTCTTAAAATTTAAAAGAATCAATTAATCCAGTACAGAAATTCAGACTGAAATTTTCCCCTAGTTGTCCTCTAACTGCGAGCATGTAACTAATCCTTAAGACTTCGTCACATTGTCCCTGCACAGAAATTTTCATAGGAACACAGCCTTACCAGGAAAGACTTCACCACATTTGAACTCAGCTATGCTCAGGCCCTTTCTGAAATACATGCTTTCAGGTGAGAAATACTGCCTTCTGAATGTAAGGGTAAGCATACATCAGGCATACAGTAACTGCTGTGGTCATGTGCAACTCCCTTGATGCCAGGAAAGCCTAGGTAATGTCTAAGTTTCCTCTCAGTTCAAACCCATTTCAGTGCAGTACCCAAGCTGAGGACAGACTTGGGAGATAATTCTTCCTTGGGAGAAGATTTCCATGGAATTGCATTCGTTTTTGTAAAACGTAAATGTAGCTTACTGGGACTTGCCATGTTTTACAGATCAAGCATATCATGGAATGGATCTCTCAAGGAAAATTGTGGAATTAATAGAATTTCCCATGGAATGTCCAATGAGCATCCTGCTCTGGCCTAGCCCACTTTGAGGGGTGTTTGCCTGAGCCTCATTTCTCAGTGTACAGCCTGAAGCAGGCACCCAATGGCTCAGCCCTAGGAAGGGCTAAGCAGGCTAAAGGCCTTAGCTAAGCAACAGCTCCTCAAGTCCAGGTGCATCTGACAGGAGATGAGGAGGAGTTTCTCATGGCACTCAGTCTGTAAATAATACTGACCAGAGACCATACTCTAGAATGTGTGTCTGAGAGTGACACAAGTTGCTCTCTCCTAATGCTGCCTGGGGAAAATCCCTGTGCAGCTAGAAGATTTCAGGAAACAAAGAGGTTCAGAAAGCAGAGGGGAAAGGGCTGGTGTTTGATTTCTGTACATTGACTCCTGTAAAAGTCTTAATTTGGACAGTAAAGAGATTAACTAATCTGAAAAAAAATACAGGTATTGTAACATCAGGAAGGAGATGGGAGGATTCTGCTGCAGATCAACACAGGCAAACACAACTACCCAAGCATTCAGCTGCCAAAAGCCAGTTGGGAGTGCACATATGTGTGAAGTACATCAGAGAGATTCATGGATGTAGGCACAAAAGCCTACAGAGGAGGGCTGAAAAGGTCAGTCAATTCATACACAGCTTGTATCCATCCTGACAGAATGAGTAGTAGCTGAGGACAGATTAGCACTCTGAGAGTATCCAGTTGCCTATTTTTCAGGCACATAGAGAAGTAGCACACCACATGCATACAAAGGCAGACAGATGTATACACGCCTCCAAACACACACAGTCCCATTCCTGAATCATATCTCCCCCCTACTCTCCCCTGAGTCACCTCCTGTTGGAAGCTTTGAAAAACTGAAAGTAGGAGGACCTGAAAGGGTCATACCCAACCTCCATGCTCAATCTCATCATGCTCAAGTACCCAGAAGTAGAATTGCAAAGGGTAAATCCTGGTAGGGAGGCAGCTGGGGAGGATGGATCCTGATATGGGCAATTCTCATGTAAATCCCCTCAGCTGTCACTTCCTACAGGGTGTTTCAGTAGGAGCAACCAAAATAAGCCAGGTAAGTAGAGGTTAATTATCACATCCTTCAACTTTGCTCCCCTCTTCCACTACAGGTTTATTCTTACCTTAGTGTCCCCTTTATTCATTTCATTTGTCACAGGAAGGGAGATAGCTGCAAAATGAGGAGAGAGCAAAAAGGAGTTTATTATTCCCTGCCTCTGGGAGACAAGCGAAGAAATCCTATCCTGCTAAAAATGGGAGTGCAGGAGGTGGGAATCTGGCTCTGGTTGAAGTGGTCTCTAGGTGTGCACACTGTGCCTCCCCCCGATGAAGGGAAGGGAAGGGAAGGGAAGGGAAGGGAAGGGAAGGGAAGGGAAGGGAAGGGAAGGGAAGGGAAGGGAAGGGAAGGGAAGGGAAGGGAAGGGAAGGGAAGGGAAGGGAAGGGGCCTGGTGGCTCTGGCACTGGGGAGTAGCAGGGCACGGCGCGGCCCTCGGGCAGTGACCTTGCGGCAGCCGCTGTCCGCGGTGCTGAAGCGGCGGGCTGAAGCGAAGTGCGCGGGGCGCGCGGCGGGCTGGGGGCGGCTCTGCCCGCAGTGCTGCGGAGCCCCGGAGCGGGGGAGGGGTCGCGGAGCTCGCTCAGCCCCACTTACCTGGCACGGCCAGCAGCAGGACGGCGAGAAGTCTCGGGCTCATGGTGCTGGTGGGGTGCGGGGAAGGGCAGAGCTTTAGTCTGGCCCTGGTTTCGGGAGATCGGCGAGGTGCTGGAGGGAGACCGGCGCTGTGTGTGTCTGCGCCAGTGTCCTGGCTGAAGATCCTAGACGGGGCACTGCAGCAACCGGCTCATTTATATATGTCAGCCCCTCGGAAATGGCGTCAGGAGGAAGCCACCTCCTCCTCTTTCCCTCCTCCCCTCTCACGCAGCAAGCTCGTTAACCTCCACCACCTGCCGAGTACTGAAGAAGCAGCCACACTCCAGCACCTGACACAGCGACCCCGATTTGTCCGGCTACCTGGGAAAAATATTCCAATAGCAAGATGTCAAGCTCGAGTTGTTCTATCTTCTTTATACACAGCAGGAGCAGGATGATTATGAAGAGTATCTTATCACTTTACAAAAGTGGTAAGAGCGAGATGCACCTCACCCAACAACAGCCATCTACAAGCATTCTGCATATGTTTCATTTATGTACATACCAATAGTCTGAAGTAAGAAAGCCACTTTTTGTATCCCAGCCAGCGCAGCCATCTGTAGGCAGATTTGCCCACTAGGGGTGCTCTTGCCTTCCACTGACCACAGAGAAGGCCTAGATAAATAGCTCAGACTAGATGCTGATATTTTTAGATGGCTGATAGATGTCTCCACGAAAGATAGGAGTGCCCATAACACTGATCAGTAGCCAGAGAATTGGTCACCATGAAGCCAGTTTGCCAATAGAGATGACAGGTTCCAGCTATTTGATGAAAGATTTGTTAGGAAGCAGGATAACAGAAGGGTAAATAGCAAAAGTTGTTGAGGTTGTTGTTCAGCTACTGTGATTCTGCAATCAAATTTCAATATGCTGGTATCCTTTGTTTAGTAGTTCACAACAAACTATAACATCACACTATACTCTCACTGCTGAGCACTGCAGAGTTGGAGTAACCAAAATTACCTGAACACAGCACATAGGAGGGAGGAGAAGTAATGAATTGGACCAATCTCTTAGCATTGGACTAATGCTGGACCATTGGACCAATTGGACCAATCACAAGTATACCATGTCCTTGACAAAATGGCTGTTTATTCTTTGGATGTGATATCTATCAGAGCTGCCCTTTGAATCTCTTTTGGAAGTATTTGCAATGTTTCTTTAGGAGATAGTCAGAGATTTGTTCCCTTAAATGTGCACCCCTGACATTCAGTGCCACTGTTATGCAAGGGGATTATTATCCCTAGAGTAATTTCAGAGGTCACAAAAGTCTAAGACTTATATTAGAAAATCAAATTTAGAAAAGTACATTACCCTGTTACACTCACTGGAGAGTGCTATACTCAAAGAGGAAGTGAGATCATACTTGCTCTAAGATGACAAAAACTCTTCTACGAGACTTGAGAGTACATGGATTTCCAGTATGCCATGGAGACGAATTCTCAAATGTATGCTCAAAAGTCCTCTAACATCTAATATCTGATCTATGCCACAAAAGACAGATTTAGATTATAAAAGCCCACTCATATGTAACCAAAGTTCCCCTTGACTGTTGCATTTTCTGTTTAATGGCAGAGAAAAGCTGACAATAAATCAATCTTTTGAACAGAGTTTGGTGGACAACATTGATTGATGTTTATATGTTTATAGGACCATGAAATGAACATCCATGACAGTTCTTGTTGTATGGGGAACCTGAATCCTCCAGGAATAACAGACATCCTTTCTGTATGTGTGTTTATTTGCATTTTTGGTTTATCAATTTATTTATTATCTATTGACATATTCAATGGCCTTCTACTCCTTCAGGGTACACCAGAGCATTTTAGTCTGCGATTATAAAATACTGAACATCATTAAGTTTCTTAATTCCTATGTGTTTCTAACATAAAAACAGATTGATCTGTTTATCAGGCTGTATTTACCTAGTCAATATTTACTTATCTTTACACATAAACTCTGATCTTATTAGGATGATAAATTGTCTCTGTTCTAACCCAGTTGCTTATACAAAGCCTTTTTCTTCCCTGAGGCCCTGTTTTCGAGAAATATAGTAGAACATGCACTGTTTGTGACTATATATTTTCCTCTCTCAAGTTATGCGCTTGCATCCTTTAAGTACATTGTAATGGAGAAACTAAATATTTTTCAGGTATGGCATGAGTTCTTCCACTATAGTAGCATGCTGGATACTAATTTTTCTATTTATTGCCCCAGGGCAATGGATATGAAATTGTTAATACAGCAATCAGTACTTCTGCTATTGGAATTTGTCTCATTAGGCACAGCTATATTAGGAACAGTCAAAGTAAAACATGTCAGGGAAAGATTTATGTCAAAGAGCAACAGTGATCAAATAAAAAATTGGAAGGTAATCTGCCACTCAGAGAAAGGCAAAGCCAGACACAGACTTCAAGAGGAGAGTAAGTCTGTGTATGTCTTAAGTAGCTTGTTTTTTAGTATATGGAGAAAAGGAGTAGGTCCTTAGTGGCTGACAGTGATGATGGTAGAAATTGGCATTTCTGGCCAATTGCTGTCTCATAAAAAAGGCTGTTTAAGTCTGTGGAGAGAAAAAACTATTTTCCTTGTAACTGTCTGATTTCTAGTGCATGATGTGTGGTGAGAATATGGAGAGTTATATGCCATTATCTGCTTACAGTCATTAACATAGTATGTGCAAACAGGCAGGGTGATGAGTTACTGTGGTAGAAAAAGGATATTTGCCTTACTTGCCTGAAAGGTGATTTGAGAAGGCAATGCCTGAATGAAGGAAGTAGACAACCAGTGCTACTGCATAGCCCATGCTCTGGGCTGAGCAAACAACAGAGCAATCCAAAAAGCCATATTATTATATGAAAAATATCATTTGGCTCAAACGCTGTTCTCAGACAAGACATAAGGCAACCTATTTCCCCAGAATTTAGAAAATAAAGCCAAAGGATCAGGAGTATGGCTCCGAGTGAGCTACTTTGAAAGCTTAATTCTCTAATTTCTTGGCTGAAACTGGAATAAGAATTCACCCTTCTCTGGTACTTGGAAGTACTGACACTACATTTCAGACTGCTATGATTTTACAAATCCGGAAACTGAGACAGAGAAAGAGTAAAAGTGTCATTTTCACAAAGATATCAAAAAAGTTCGAAGCCAAGGCACAGCTACTACCTGCACTGGTGCCAAACAGACTACTAAGAAAAAAATTAACAATTACATTGTTGCATATGAAATCAGTTGATAACAGACTGAAAACTTGAATGTAATCTCACTGACAAAGTAGCAGGAAGGCCTACTAAAACCTTCAAATCATGCTTCTGCGCTACATTAGTCAACTATGCTCACATCTCAGCTCCCCAACACAAACCACTCTCGTATGCCTGTAAATAGAAACAAGTTTCAAAGCTCAGATTGCTGTTGTGAATATCCATCTACACTGTTAAAAGGCACTTCTCTTTTCCAGGTCAGAGGCAAACTGATGTTGATTTATTTTGATTTTCTTCATCTAGACTTTGATTGCACCAACTTGAACTTAATTGATTTTCCTGTTCAAAGTCTTACTTGCACACAACCAGCAAAGCCCAACACTGTGCTCAAAGTTGACAGTGGCTGCTGCTCTATCTGTTCCCATCCTTGCCTGGCATGTACAGCTCTCATTGGGGCAGATGAGTTATGTTCCCTACTGGGAGAAGAGACTTCTCCATAGCAATCAGAGAATACCATCTGGGCTCCCTTACGAAGAGCTTATTTTTCCATATACTTTTTCTTAACACCATTCAAACACCAGCCTGGAAAAAGTCATACTCCCCCAATGCTTTGGTCAGTGTATCCAACATTTACAGCAAGACCTTGCTTATTCCTGTAAGCCCAACTGAATCAGTAAGAAAAGCTGGAAATGGGGGTTCTCCTCAGCCAAAATAATCTCCAACAGCTTCCTCAGGAAATTACTGATTATTCCATGGATATGATTTTATTTGACTTGTGATAATGAAGTCTGTGTCATGCTAATGTCAATATTAAGTAACCCCAAATAATTTTCTAGTTTCAGAATGGTCTTCAACAAGTTTATGAGAAAACCACTGATATTACTCAATGTTTACAGACAGGACAGATAGTCCTATTTATTGCTCTCAGGCACTGACAAAATTGGTGAGAGTTAGTTATGCCAAAAAGGCACCATTAATTAGTTAAGGGGCTTGATTTTCTACTTGTTTGTTTACTTAAAATAAAAGGGAAAAACTGTTCTTTAAATGGAAAATATGGAATTATAAGTTTGCAATTGAAAAATTTACATAGATAGACTTAGCAAATCTTTTCTCATTTTTAATCTTAAAATAATATGGGGGAAAAAACTACCATCACCAACAACAAACCACAGTGAGAGTGATTCAGGACTTTGTACTTGCACTCCTCTCCAGGGAGTCCATAAACTGACCATATTGCCCTCACACTACCTTCAGCTCACAGCCAACACATGGACCCACAGTCAGCATCGGTGTTGTCCTGGATTATGTATATTAAAAGACAGTGACTGTCCGGTATATTTTGTACTGCTTAATCTTATGCCTCACTTTCTGCCTTTAAACATCTTCTCCTTCTTTCCTGAATCTTCCCAAACTGTCTGTCCACTCCAGTTGCTCAGAAAACACCAGGGGAGATACAGAGGTACGCAGTCCCATGAGTTATACTCTGATCAAAACATATGAGCATGGTTGCGATGTTTCTGGAGGCGTAAATCAGGTGAACTTATGCTAACTTTCCCAATCCATATAGATCAAGTGACAAAACCTGTAATTTAAAAAAAAATTAAAAAAATAAAATCAAAAGGACATTTCTCTGACAGCAGATTTTAGGATTGTGGAGCGCATAAGCAGTTCCCATTTTAGGTGCTTTCTTTGATCTCTTTGGCTTACACTGGAAATGCTGCACATGAGAAGATGAAAGGAAGGCTGGACGTAGCTTACTTTCCTGCTACTGCAGGAGGAGTGGTGGGGAACAGTCATCTGAGCTTCTTCTTCCTGTACCCCTCTGTTCCCCAAAAGTGCCAGCCACAAAAGCCAGACTTAGGTCTTGAAAACACTTTCCCAGACCAGCAAGGCTTTTATGGGCATCTACAAGTTTCACTTGCTCATCTCCTTTACAAGAGAAATTATCTCTGTATTCTGATTGCTCGTACAGCTCCTTCAAA